GAGGGTTCCTGTTGTGATCTAATGTTTACTACGTACCTTGTACGTTTCAGGTTAGTCATGTTATGGTACTATAAGTTATGAGGGTTCCTGTTGTGATCTAATGTTTACTACGTACCTTGTACGTTTCAGGTTAGTCATGTTATGGTACTAAAAATTATGAGGGTTCCTGTTGTGATCTAATGTTTACTACGTACCTTGTACGTTTCAGGTTAGTCATGTTCTGGTACTATAAGTTATGAGGGTTCCTGTTGTGATCTAATGTTTACTACGTGCCTTGTACGTTTCAGGTTAGTCATGTTCTGGTACTATATATATGTATTATAATATCCTGTAAAAAAAACTAGATACAAAACAATGGTTACTTGTGGAATGAATAACACGATGAGCACAACATTTCTAGACTGAAAAATTATATAAAATCGCAGATACTCCTAAGGCTAAGTTATTATGTCGTGTTTATACATACAAAACAATGGTTACTTTTGGGTTAGATTATAGTACTTAGTACCTCCAATAAAGCTTATGTTTTTATATATGAAATATATATTGTGTTATATAGAGTTAGTGTCCATTTGGTTATCTCAGTGAAAGCCGTGTTTTCATATATGAAACATACGTTATGTTATGTAAGATTAGTTTTAATTTGGTTATCTCACGAAAGCCATGTTCTTTTATATGAAACACACATTATGTTATATAAGGTTAGTTTTAATTTGGTTATCTCAGTGAAAGCCATGTTATTTTATATGAAACACACATTATGTTATATAAGGTTAGTTTTAATTTGGTTATCTCAGCCCATGTTTCTATACTGATACAAAATATACATTAGGTTATACATAGTGAATTTTCATCACTTTATCACACTGAAGCCTGTGTTTCTACATATTTCTATCAAAAAACAGGTGTGATTGTTTGTTGCATTATAACGCTCCTGTGGCTGGAAGGGCGAAAACTAGCAGCGACAGGTTTAGATCCCGCGACTCCCAGATTGCTAGTCGAGCTCCTTTTAGCCGTCAAGTCATGCGAGGCCTAAAGCGTTGATTTTTTTAGTTTCGTTCTAA